ATACTTTTATTTGCGTTTACATTTTTTGTGGCATTCTAATTTTATGTTTCATTTCCTATTAGATATGTACTGTAGTTTGTAGAGTTTATAACATCACTATTTTAAATTGTAAAMTATTTTACTGTTCTGAAAAATACACATACATATATAAACAGCCCTTTACAATTTCTTCTCAGTTTTCCTTACAACTTCTACACAAAAGCATATTGTCAAAGCAAGATAAAAAAAAATAATGAAGCAAAATAAAACCAACCTTGTATTCACATACTCCCATAGGACCCCATTTGTAGATCAGTTCTGTAGATGAGCATGTTTATTCATACGGGTCAGCATGCAACACTTTATTCCTACACAGACTCCAGCCCTGTCTGATGATGAGCAATGATAACAAAGGGCTGAAAACAGAAGCCGTTATGTTCCTYTGACTGACAGGTGTCCTGCATTCAACACCTACACACACTCCAAGGCAAAAAAAAAAAGAATTCTGAGTGCTGAGATTTAGTGAGGGCACACAAATCCCCGACTGAAGCAAATGAGCCTTTTTAACAGCAAGATCTGTGTCTCCCACCTGCATTTTCAAGATGGCTGGCATTTACTCTGAACAGTGGAAATTAAATTTGAAGTGTGGTTTTAACTTCCAAAGACTAGGTATCCCACTTTTTTCTTTTTTTTTTTTTTTTTTTGCTCTGAAGGCAAAATGAAAAACACTCAGGGTCTAAGAATCACACGGGGATGTATTTTAGCTTGTATTTAAAAGCTTTTAGAAGAAAAGAAAATGACATAAAAACCTTTAAAACTGCTCTGCAGCCCATTTGTATTGAAAAAGCAGCATGTTTTCTTCTTTGGCACTATAAAACCTGCCTACGCCTGCAGTGGCTGCGAGATGAAAACTAGAGAGCAACTTCTGGTCCTGACAGGCAGAGAATACAACCTAAACAAGCAGACCTTCTCAGCCAGCAGTGTTTCACTGACAGTGCTCTTTATTGGAGTCAGACGTGATGTTTTCTTGCATATACCTTGAGTTAAGGATGTTTTGCAATTCATACTGCTACAATTGTTGTTTTGTGGAAATAAAACTTGAAGGAATAGTTTAGAATCTTTGAAGTGCAAGTTTTATGTGTAAAAATATGAACAATTAATATCTTATCTGTTGAGGATTACTTAAAAAATGTCTTGGAGAGAAAAAAGTTTAAATCTGACAGGATTTAAGAGCTAACACACATATTCCAAATGCAGCTGTGACCAAAGAGGATCTCTGCTGACATTAATCAACCCCGATTTCCAAAATCTTATATTAGACTCCCCTGTACCATGTCATAACCATGTAATGGAAAACTGGCAGCAGTTTGTAAAATAGTGTTCTTGTCTGTCATTAACATTTTGATTTTGGAGCTGCTTTACAACAAAAGCAACCCACTTTAGTTTTAGCTACATTTGGACTAGCCTTTAACTTGTCAACCTAGACTCACTTGATTTTTCTAAACTGAGGCCATTCCAAGAGCTATTTACAGCAGGTAAAACCTTAGTTTTTAATCAATATAAATTCATATCCCTTTCACAGAATCCCACTTCAAAATGTTTAAGTAAAATTTTTGAAGTAAATCAGACTATTACTGTGTTGTAACTTCTGTATTTACATAAAAGTTAAATAAGAAGAGTATAAAGATCAGTAAATTTGAGTGTAATTTGATATATTACAAATAACTTGAATAAATATCTTAGTAGTGGTTATGAAAATTCACTTTCTCCACTGTCCTGATGCATCTCAGTAATCCAGGTAAAAAAATCTAAAAGAAAAAAACTGTGTAGGTATATGTATATAGGTAAGTTGTATATGCTGTTAAGTGCCAGGAGGACTGTGACCAGTTATACATCGGGGAAACAAAGCAGCCACTGTTCAAAAGAATGDCCCAACACAGACGAGCTAMWTCTAATGGCCAGAACTCTGCAGTTTTCACTCATTTACAGGCCAGCGTTCACTCTTTCAGAGATGAGGATGTTCTCATTCTTGATAGAGAGGAACGTTGGTTTGAGAGAGGAGTAAAAGAAGCCATTTTTGTGAAGAAAGACCGTCCATCATTAAACAGAGGTGGAGGCCTCCGTTTTCAGTTGTCCCCCTCCTACAGCGCGGCCATTGCCAGTATCATTCCACCCCCCTGTTAACAATAAATGTTAATTAGGTGTCAACGATAGCCATGTGATGTGAGTATCAGTCACATGGCGGCTGGGCTTAAAAGCCTGAATTTTGCCTGAAACTCTCAGACTGAAGAAGTCTCTTGGAGGAGAGACGAAACGTTTCATTAGAGAAGAACCCGTCCAGAAGACCTATACAATTTTTTTCTTTTTGACTTTCTCCACTACTTTTCTGCTGTTTTCATTCTTGAAGTAAGTTGTCTAAAAAAACACCAAAAGACTGAAAAATATATATTTTAAACAATAGCAGAACTGACAGAGCTTCTCAGCAATTCAGCAAGTGTAAAATCTGAACTGATTATTTTGATGTGAGCATTATTATAGAATTATAGGAGACTTTGGGAGAAGATCCAGTACATTAACTCTTCATCTCTGTGCCAAAATAAGTTTGGTGGTTGAGGATAAACAATTGCGCTATAAATTAAAGAACTGTTTTGGAATTTATTGTTGTGCTTGATGGTAAAGTTAAGTCATTATTTATAAGCATGAGCACCTCACCAGAGACAAGAAGCAAAACTCATTTCTGATGCCATCAAATATACAGCCTGGAGCCGTTTCATTGACACTGAATGAGATGCAGCATTAGTGGGCTCATAAAATGTTTGTTTGAGTTGTTACACCCAAATGAGCTTTTAATTACAGTAGTGCTTTCTGAAGTGAGGCAGAAAATGTGGCCCCATCTGCATAAAATCACCCTTGTTACTGCCGGTGCCACAGTCAGCATTTTTATCTCCCGCAGTTCCTTCTCTATTAAAGTCTACATCCCTGTAAGATCAATGATTAAAGGAGTAATTAACTTTTCCACTAGTGGGAAATTGTAATAAATATTCCATAAGATTAGATGTGGGTGGTAATGAGTCAAATTTACTCAGATAAATGCACTTAAGGAGTTGTTCTGCTGAGAGTTTGGGGGAACAGTTTTTAATGCTGGATAATTTTTACTCTCGCTACAGTAGTTTCTTTTTTTTTCAGGAAAAATAAACACTTTAATTGAGTACGATTACAGTATATCACCACTTTTATTTCATATGCTGTGCATTATATTTACTATTTTGTGCATTCAGGCAGGTTTTTATGACACCAGATGTGTTGGTGGTTTGTTGTCCTGTCCTCCAAGCATTAGCTGTGTTTAAACTAGTGTACTGTTTATGCTAAAGTTGACACATTTACTACAGCTTAACTAGTCATGCATATTATCTGAGGATAGAGATGAGAAAAAGAAGAGTAAAAAATAATGCTCATCATAAACAACATGCTGTTTTGAGTATATATTAATTATTGATTGGTTTTATGGATAGTGCAAACAAAATATTTTGGCCACAGATGGTTTTATTCATGAGTGAATGATGAAACATTGCTGCTGACTTTAATTTCTCCTAATGACCAATAATGAGCCATCGAATATGACACTGATTTATACTGATAAGTAATATGATGCACGTATAAATAGCTGAGTATGAATTGAATAAATATTGCTCACAGATGAGTTGTGCTGCAGACAAAAGCAATTCAGTTCTGCTACCAGGCTTTTTTTATGAGAGGCCCTTTAGGCCATAATTCAAACTTGCTCTCACAAGTTATTCACTGAATGTACTGCACATACAGTACATACATGTGATGGTCACCAGTGATTGAGGAATTCACATGCTCTTACTTCATGTTGCTTCAAAATGCTGGTTGGGGATTTTTTTTTTTTTGATGCTGGGATGAAGCTGCTCAAATACAGGGAAAAAAAATCCTAAACTTTATGCTGCAAACATATCCAAGTTTGTCCTGAATTTCTTCTCAGATTTGTTGTCTGGTTGAGCAAAATGTGCTTGTAGAAAAGTGCAACAAAACTGAATTGTTTATTTACGTTCTTTAGATTTTAGAAGTTGAATTTTTCTTTCGGTACTTAATCAAATTCTACACRAAAGTGGGTGAAATTTGCTGGATGTGTTCCTTTTACAACTGTGGGAACAAATGACCATATATTGAGAATTTTTTTGAGTGTGAATAGTTGAGCTGTGGGTGGTTGAAAACCCACTTGTCTGTTTTCAAGCGATATAACAAAAAACACCACCTAAAATCACTAAAACTTCTGGAAAAATACCCCATCACTTCAGGTGGCAATTATTAAAATTCCATGCTCATTAGAGCTGTAAATTGAACAAAATTCGCATGTTGTCAGTTTCCCAAGTTTGGGAATCTCTATAGCTTTCAATGAGACCATTCTGCACATCAAATGTTGATGCRAGGGGGTTCCCTCTGCGTTAATATTTGACACCAAGGGAGCCTGACCAAGCATTCATATATGATGAGTAGGAAGTGAGAATGTGTTTTTCATGCTTTCCTGTTGCATGATTAGGAGATTTAGTTGTCCTTAAAAAATCTTCTGAAATCATACACATATCTTTGGCAGAATGAGCTGTTTTTTTACATTAAAACWAGTTCATTATTAAGCTAAGAACCAGTGTTTCTCACACTCTGCCAGACTCCTTCTTTGGAGAAAGCAAAATGTTGACCACAACACACTCTTCATGACCTATTAGAACATGACTGGRCCAGAATAATTTTGAAAATTTCCTTTAGTGTGAAGGCAATCCTGATGCTGCTGCGCTGTTAGTACTCGCCAAATTGGTTTTTCCCTCTTATTTTCTGCATCTTTGAGATGCTGTCTTGAAGAGTGTATTTTCATGTAGTGACATTATATTTTACAACGGTTGTTACACTCAGTCAAATTGAACTGCAGTATATTTCTGGATTGTGCCCTTTGAACTTTTTCCTTCAGCTTTCTCTTGTATTTGTCACTGACTGGGTTTTTGCAGATGTCCACCTGGCCACATGATTCGTGCGAACGGGACCAGGAAGTCCTGTGTCTATACCCTGTGTGCTACGCGGCCTTGTCACCATGGGACGTGTGTAGCCCAGTCGCCCTCCAAGTTCACCTGCCACTGCCCGGAGGGATTCAGAGGACGGCACTGTGAGACCACCCTGGCAGTTTACAGGGAGGAGGTGGGCCTGAGCTTCAGCTCCCTCTTCGCCATGTGTATCTGCTTCATGGCATTACTGGGTAAATATTATTTCTGCTACAGGCTACTTGTATTTGTCAATTGTTTAATGATACAGTATCTCCAAGGGGATTTGAAAACCATGATTACATCAAGCAGCTTCTTATATTTTTCTGATATTGTTTAATTGGGTTTATAAAATGCAACAGGACTAGCCACTTATTCTTTCAGTGTCTGCCGCCATGTTGGATGGATCAAATTTATGTCAGCCTGAGTCATACCAAAGTAACATTTTAAAATCACATTAGCCTTTTCACACCACCGCTCTTCAGTTTGCATCCTCAGAATTAATCACATACAGCAGGTAAAATAAGTATTGAACACGTAACCATTTTTCTCAGTAAATATATTACTAGAGGTGCTAATG